ATGTGATGCATCACACTTCTTTATTTGCATATATTGACCTGTCCTTGATCCCAGGGACAAATCTCACATGATCATAGTGAGTGATCTTTTTAATGTACTGTTGAATTCAGCTGAATTCATCTGCTAATATTATATTGGGAGTTTTTGCATCTATATTCATTAGGGATATTGATGTGTAGTTTTCTTTTCCTGTGGTGTCTTTTTCTGACTTTGTTACCAGGGTAATGCTGGCCTTATGAGTTTGGAAGTGTTCTCTCTTCTATTTTTTGAAGAGGTTGAGAAGGATTGGTGTTAATTCTTTAAGTATTTGGTGACATTCATCAATGAAGAGATCTGGTCCTGGCTTTTTTTTGCTGAGGGATTTTTGATTACTGATTCAATCTTCTTACTAGTATTTGGCCTGTTCAGATTTTCTATTTCTTCCTGATTCAGTCTTCGCAGATTGTATATTTCTAGGAGTTTTTTCTATTTTTTCTTGGTTGTCCAGTTTCTTGGCATATAGTTGCTCTTGCCTTAATTTTCCTTTTTTCTGTGTTTCCTATGTTAATCTTTTTTTTTATTAAAAATTTTTTACTTAAGTATAGTTGATTTAAAATGTTGTTAGTTTCTAGTGTATAGCATATTGATTCAGTTACACATTTATATTCTTTTTCATATTTATTTTTATAGGTTATTACAAGATATTGAATACAGTATCCTGTGCTATACTGTAGGACCTTGTTGTTTATCTATTTTATATATAGTAGTCTATATCTGCAAATCCGAGACTCCTAATTTATCCCCCTCCTTTCCACTCTGGTAACTGTAAGTTTGTTTTACTATGTCTGAGTCTGCTTCTGCTTTGTAAAGAAGTTCATTTTTATTGTGTTTTAGGTTCCACATATAATTGATGCCATATGGTGTTTTTCTTTCTTGTCTAGCTTACTTCACTTAGAATGACAATCTCCAGGACCATCCATGTTGCTGCAAATGGCATTATTCTTTTTTATGGCTGAGTAGTATTCCATTGTGTGTGTGTGTGTGTGTGTGTGTGTGTGTGTACACCACTTCTCTTTATCCAGACATCTGTTGGTGGTTATTTAAGTTGCTTCCATGTCTTGGCTCTTGTAAATAGTGCTGCTATGAACAATGAGGTGTGCATACTTTTTGAATTAGATATAAATGCCCAGAAGTGGTATTGCTGGATCAGATGGTAACTATCTTTAGTTTTTTAAGGAATCTCCATACTGTTCTCCATAGTGGCTGCACCATATTACATGCCAACCAACAGTGTAGAAGGGTTCCCTTTTCTCAACACCCTCATCAGCATTTATCGTATGGGGACTTTTTCTTTTTTTAACGATGGACATTCTGACTGGAATGAGATGGTACCTCACTGCAGTTTTTGATTTGCGTTTCTCTAACAATTAGTGATGTCGAGAATCTTTTCATGTGCCTCTTGGCCATCTTTGTCTTCCCTGGAGAAATGTCTGCTTAGGTCTTCCAACCATTTTTTGATTGGGTTGTTTTTTTTTGTTATTGAGTTGTATGAGCTTTTTGTATATTCTGGAAAGTAAGCTTTTGTCAGTTGCATCATCTGCAAATACTTCCTCCCATTCTGTAGGTTGTCTTCTTGTTTTGTTTATAGTTTCCTTTGCTGTGCAAAAGCTGATATGTTTAGTTAGGTTCCATTTGCTTATTTTTGCTTTTATTTCTATTGCCTTGGAAGACTGATTTAGGAGAACATTGCTACAATTTATGTGAGAGAATGTTTTGCCTATGTTTTCTTCTAGGAGGTTTATAGTGTCCTGCCTTATGTTTAAGTCTTTAAGCCATTTTGAGTTTATTTTTGTGTATGGTGTGAGGGAGTGTTCTAATCTCATTGATTTACTTCACTGATTTACAGTGGCTGTACAGCTTTCCCAAAACAACTTGCTGAAGAGACTGTCTCTTCTTCACTGTATGCTACTGCGTCCTTTGTCAAGATTAACTGACTGTAGGTATGTGAGTTTATTTCTGGGCTTTCTAGTCTGTTCCACTGATCCATAATTCTTGGCTTAATTTTGGACAGTCCTAAACGCTTCTATACAACTGCTGTCTTATTAAACAGTTCAATTAGGGATCATCCAACAACAACAAATACAGGAAAATGTGACATTTATGAAGGCTGAAAAACATCACTAGTTGACATACTTTTGTGATTCCTTAAGTAGGGGTGAATGCCAGAACTGATTGATTCATCACATCCTCAGATGTTCATGGTCTATATTTCGGCTCAGGTTGAAAACTGACACAGGGAATTCTGATACCTGAAACCATCTATAATTACACAGCTTACTGTCTTCATTAGCATATAACTATTCCATCATCTTTATCAACATAATTTTACTATTCCAGAAAATGCTTCTTTGGGAGATACAAGTTGTAAATAACTTTATTGCTTATTGCAGAAACTTCTTAAATAGAAAGCATCAAAAAAAAAAAACCCAGAAAAAACTGTTAACACACTGATTCTCAGAACTTCTCACTTTACAGTGTCCATGATTCCTAAATGATTATATTATGATTCTTATTTAATTCTAATCAAACCCCTACAATAAAAGATCTGCTTTAAATCAAACTCCAAAATTGCAAATATATCCTGAGTTTGCCCTCTCCTTTGTGAGACTCTGAGACTTTGTTGAAATGGCATTCTTCCTTATCAGAGTAAGAATAAACTCCGCTTTTCATGTTGTTTTAACGACAGTTTTGAGGAGCTAAAGGAAAGTTATTTCCTACTTGGACAAAGTTACCAAAGTTAACCTTCTTGGACAACTCTGGACAAACTCTGTTAGGTTTTAATTCTTCTTCATTCTCTAGGATCCACTGATCTTTGTTTTGACACATTTTTAGATATGCTAAAAAAAAAGTTGATCATAGTGTTCTTTATGCTAGCTACATTTTGGAAGTGTTTTACTTGAGGATAGTTCAGTAAATATATGAAAAACAAAAGATTAAAGTAGAAGGAACAATAGAGGGTATACAAGAAGGATTGCCTAAGGGGAACTCAGAGAAGCCATCACAGAGGACATCATACTTGAACTGAGTCTGCAAGGATAAGCAAGAGTTTCCTAGGAAAATAAGGGGAATGGATATTTTATGCAGTGATGGGAAGGGTCCAAAGGAATAGAGGCAGGACAGCATTGAGAGAATGGGGAACTGCCAATAGAGTTTATATGACTGCAATATAGTATTACATGGCAAAGGAAGAAGAAAAGAAAGATAAAAGTAGACTAACTAAGCAATGAAATTAAGAAGTTCAGAGGTAGAACAGCTCATGGTGATGAAAAAGTCCTGGGCATGGCTATGGGTATTAGTATAAATTACGAAAGTCGTGTTGAGAGGAAAGACCTTAAATTATAGAATTCACAGAACTAAGAGGCTTCAATGCTGGAAGGGCTCTCCACATGGATCTAAATGACTATATGGATCATCTGTGTGACTATTTCAACCTAAGAAAACATGATCAGAAAAACCTGGACCATAATGTCATAATGTCCATCCAAAGTGATTAACAGCCAGCAAGCCAGTAAGAACACAACTAAAATTAAAGTGGTTTCTAACAGCACAAAGATTAGAAGTAAAGAAGATTTCAAAGAAATCTCAGTAAGAAATTATTTTTGTTCCTAATCACCATAATCACTATCAATAATCCATCATTTCCTCAGGATCAACAATAAATGGAAATCATGTGGTAATCATCAAAAATGCCATTTTCAAAGTTTACTTATTTCTATTGTTCTATTTTAGTGAATATTCAATCATCACTTCCCTGACTCTTAGGTTTCTCAACCTTAGGGCTTACGAAGGTATAATAGGACTTTACCTCTCTTATAACTGAAGAGCCTTCATCGGATTCACATATCTGTCAGATATGCAAACTCACAAAACTAAACAACTTAAACATGCCTCTTTGCATTTATTTTTATGTAACTCTGATATACAGGTCCTGGAGAAACAACTGCAGTGTGCTGGCCTAACAAATCAAGGGTTTCCAAGCTAAGGTCACAGATTCACAACACAGAGATGGGAAAATTTTACATTAAAGAAAGTAAAAAGAAACACATTTTTACCTATTTGAAGTTCTCCAGTTAGTCTTTTGATTGTTAAATAATACAGTGTGCTAGAAATAGAAATCATTCCATTTACTAAAACTCCTAGTGGTGTATCTAATACCTATTTCAACATGATCCTCCCATACGTCTTCTCTTGATTAAGATCAGGAATAAGATGAGATGATACCATTAATATTAAGTGACAGAGAACAATATTTTAAAAATTAGCATTTATACAGCACTTTTCTCTTAGGATCTCAAGGTTTTTAAGGCACAATCTTTGATCTTAACATCATTTCAAGGATACAGGTAAGAAAAAGCTATTTATAGTTCCTTTTTATAAGACACGAAAATGAATAATACACAAAGTTAAATGACTTCCACACAGATGCTGTTAGTGATAAAACAGAAAAATAAAATTAAGATTTTTTCATCCTTGCTTAAGGGTACTATGCTGTAAAAACATGCTGCCTGTAAAGAAAAGGCCCTTTAGGAATTCATATTCACAAAATGACTATGATGAACCCTCTAAGGAGTCTTTATTTATTTATTTTTTGTAATTAGATTCCTTTAGTGGAGTTACATTATTATTACTTTAAGTTAGTCTGTTTTCAAATTACTTTTTGGCAGTAAGGTAATTACAAGAGGTTCTCATCTTAGAGTCACAGGAGCTCACTACTACCCTAACTAGTAGTGATATCAAAGTTCTGATGTCAGCATGCAAAGACAACTGGGATAGGGGAAATACTTATTAACATATTGATAATAATATTTTTCGAAGGCAAAAGCTCTAACAGTTATATTTTTGATATACACTTTCCACATTGCTCGTCTTCATTCTTTTACCAAAATGTCATTTTTAGCTCTCTTTTCTGTTGTACCAGAAATTCTAATCCAGTAGTCCATCTAAAATAATGACATACTTACTGGCTCTGAGAATGTTCTCCTTGCTGCTGCACCTGGACTGGACCTGCAGAGAGAGCATAAACTCAGTAATTTAGGGCTCATAACATAGGCAGGCAGATATGTATGCATATTTAATGGGCAAACTTCTGAGGTCTAGGAGCAAAGGCTTTATGTATCTCTGATATCATAACATATTAATAAAAATGTTATTTATTCCACGTATTTTAAATTTATCCTTTCTGTACTTTAAAGAAAGGACTGATTTCTAGAAAAGAAACTGGAGACCCAATATTATAAATGGGGCGAAGGTAAAACCAAAGGCATTTTTTATTGTTGTGTATTTGAAATTAGTATATGGGAAAAAATTCAAGTTATCACATATTCAGTTATGAGTTCAAATCTAGAATAATAAAGGCACTGTGCGTATCGCTTGACTAAAATAATAATGCAATTCAAGTAACAAAGTTGTGATCAAATATTCCACGGCAGTCATTTTTAGTTACATGTGTTAGTAAGGGGAAATGAGAAATCCTCATATACAATATTCACATGTGATTCTAATGATCTTTGTTATTTACTGAATATAATAATTGATTACAATTATAATATTAGTTATGAAGGATGTTTCCAGCGGAAATCAATGAAATGCAGATCATTTATTTATCAGTTCTTAGGTATATAGTTATCAATCAGAAACTAATGCTCTGATTCAAATATTTTAGGTCAAAGTGGAACATTGTTTTAAATGTTGCAAAACTGATGAATTCAAGGACCATGTTGGATGGCATTAATACTTGTTAGTTTCACAGGAAACTGTATTTACACTCCACACCTCTTCTTCCCACTCCGCAGCAGCTTGCCCCAAATGGATATATACACAACAAATTAATTTCTATTGCTTAAGACAATCTACTATTGTAATGAAACAAATCATGAAAGGAATGTTGCAACTTAGGGTGGGTTATGGTTGTCCTTCCCTGAAAAAAACAGTTGTTAATGTTTAAAGAAACAACAACAATAATAAAAAGGCACAAACATACACACGAGAAAAACACACACACACCAAAAAAAGAAAAAAAAAGGGAAAAATAATTCCAGATGTTTAAGTTATTCTCTTTTGGCCCAGATTGTTTAATTAGTTTGAAATACACTAAAATGAAGAAGCTAATCTGGAAGATACTATTCTTTTACTTAAAGTTTTATTGAAGAACAATTCTGGACCAAATGGGAAAGAAATTAATGACTACTTAAAGAAAACAATACAAGAAGGAAGACACGAGAGCAAGGAAAAGAAAAAGAAGAGAGAGAGAGGTTTGAGGAGGTGGGGGTAAATCTAGAAGATAGAAAAAGTATGGCCTTATAGAAGAGGATAATATGTAACATATGTAAATATGTTCTGCTATTTCTTATTGAAAATTCATACTAAGAGGGTAAAGAGTGACAAATGAACTTGCTGCAAAATAAACAGGCAAGTTGGCATACCATGAAATGAAAATAAGTGTAACTATACCACTACAGCCTTAAAGGAGAAAAGAAACAAACACTAATAGACAAATTAATAAACAAGCTTAATAAAGAGATAAACTACGTTTTAAAAAAGCGATTCAAAGAACACAAGAGAAAGCTAAAAGAGAGAAAAATCTGGGAGAGAGAAGGAAAAGAAAGGGGAAAATGTTGAAAGACAAAAACAGAGCTCAAAGAAGTCAAATGGAAGTCAAGAAAGTCTTCAACAAGATGTAGAAACAGAAGGAGCCCAAACCCATAGCGCAAAGCAATGTTTGCGAATGGAAAGCAGCTCCTTTGATCAGTAATAGTTACTCTTAAGTCGTAGCCTCTATTCCTCCAGAGTTCATCTTTAAGCCCTTCCAATCTAGAGTGGAGCTAGTGTATGGATAGAAACAAGAGATTTACAATGAACAGAACAGTTCAGATGAGTAGTTCAAATTGTCTCATCAAATGTTTCAACAGATTTATATAATGTCTAAATGGAAATGGAGGTGAAGTACTACTTGGCTTTATCAAAAAAAAGCAAACCAAACCAAAACCACAATTAAAAAACCCTCTCCTTTCCTTAGGTGGTTTAAAAAATTAACAAAAAATTCATTCATAGCATGAATGTAATAAAGAAACCCAAGTCCTGCTTTGTGGCATCTCAGTTTAGTATTAAATATTTCAGATAGTTTTGGAAGAGAAATTTGCATGATGAGAAGTATCAATATTCTGATTCTGTGTATTTATCTAAGTTCACAAATTGCCAACATCAGTATAACCAGTGCTTTCTCATTTACAGTATATTGGCTATTTGACCCAGATTTGAGGGAAATCACTTTTAAAAATCAACGATTAAATGAACTACTTTACTTCAGTGATCTTCAGTATACATTAAAAATTGAGGAAATTAATTTTTAAAAATTTAATACTTATGTATGCAGTGGATGTCCCTCTGTCTTGTACCATGAAATGGATCATCTTTATAATATTTACTTAATTTTATAAAATCCCAATATGAAGATCTTCACTAACTCAAAATATAATGAGATTTACCTCAAAGAATAAAGTTGAGAAACAACTATTGTTCTTGTTCTCACAATGTGGATTATAAATGAGATAACACAGGTCTGTCTAAAGATTTATGCTTTGTTGTTGTTCTTCTTTATCTTACTCAATTTTCAGGGATTAAAAGTGAAAGGTATGGTGTTGGATTATCTGTTACTTTATTCTTTTTTATTATGTTATACTATAATTAACACCTGACTTTATGATGTTGACAATTAATTTCCCTTTAAATTGGAATCAAAACTAAAATAATACGTAGAAACAGTATATTATATTAAAGTCAATGGAGGAAATAAAAAAAACACAAGAGATTTACTGGAAATATAGGTATTCATTTACTAATTAAGACTGCTTTCAGACAGCAAATAATTCATTTAATTCATTTCAACATGTGTTTACATGTATAATATAACTTTTGGTGAAGATCACATTGTCCATTAAGAAATCTTAAGCCGTGAAACAGAAAACAAAAGGGGGGAGAGCACGCAATAAATGGTAAAGAAAAAAAGTGAAAATGCTTTAAACAAAGCTGAGAAAATTTTAACAAACAACCACAATCTTTAGATACAGTTAGAGAAGTGACTTACCTTATGCTTAGGTCATAACAAGAATAGCACAGTGTTTTAAGTCAGCTCTTCATTATGGGAGGTACAATTGAAAGCCATAGGTTATAATAACATGAATTGCTACACAGAAATGAAGACTTTTTCAGCCCAACATGAAAAGCTAACTCTTAATGGGAGAACATTTCAACTTATGTTTAATGCAACATGAAGAACATTTGAGGTGTAAACATCAACACATGAATCTCACACCAATAAGAGAGATAGTCCAATCTCTCAGGAACACAGAAGATTTAATCTGTGACCATAATTCGTGACACATAAGGGAAGGCACATCACTCTAACGTTGAAAGACGCATGCATAATGTATAACCATCCAGAGACAGCTGCCACCCCCAACCCCCAACCCCCATCCCACTCGTACACACACAAAGCCCACTAAGATACAGGGAAAGAATGTAGTGCCAAGCTGTTATGAAGAAAAGCAGGACACACGGAAGCGCAGCAGTGGTCATGTGATTTGAGAGGTGTTCTTCCCTTAAACCATCCCATCACCATGCTTATTTTAAAGAAGCCAGGAAAAGACCCCCTTCAATGCTGCAGTAGCTACGAGCCCCCAGCTTGAAGCTAGTGTGTGGAATTTTGATCACCGTTCCCTGCGATGTCAGGGGCTCTCCAGTGGAAGCCGGATGTGTAACACCAGTTAGTGGGGTACAAATGTGTGAATAACAAACATCCTTTCCCTTCTGTGTATCACAGAAGTGATGGAGGAGAGAAACAAATAAAGTAAAACCCATGTTAAGAATAGGTTCATAACAATATAAAGATGTATAAATATTAAAATGGAGATTACATTTGATTACAAGTTAATACAACTCAGGTTTCATAAAAACTGCCTCTATTTTGCTGCTCACCAGGCTGACTTGTATTCTTTTGCCTTGTAAATACTTGGAATAAATCTACACAACGTGGCTCATACTGAACAATTCTGAGCAGTTGGTCAGATGGGGGTCAAAGTCAAGAACAAAAGTCGTCATCTTCTTTGATGGATATTAAGAAAGCCCTGTTTATTTTTAGTATGATTTTACTGGCTGGCAGTTACATTTTAAATTAAAAATTAAGCTTCTGTATATCACTTATTTATGTAATCTGATCAATTCTATGGCAATAGTTTGGTTTAAATTTTAATCTTTTTACATTTTAGAAAGCAAGTAACAAAGACTACTTACATAGAAATTGTTAGTAAGTTTCCTGTGTACTTTTATCTACTGGTTATAAAACTTATTAAAAATGGGGCTGTTCCTGTCAATAACAGGGTCATAGGAGCTCATTAAAAAAATTCCAACTTTGGTTTTCTATTATTGATAATAGTAGTTAACTTGATCTGTTTTATTTTTTGTATAAGATGAGTTTTGATTCATGTGTGGCATGCAACTTAGTTAGCAGATTGCTTAAAAATCATTTACTTATATTACCATTTTCTCTCCCTCATCCTATTCTTAGCAGGCCAGAATATCTTGACCTTCCCTTTAGCATGTCTTTCTTATTTAGGGCTCTAGGGTGTTCTTTAATATACGTATCAGTGATTTTAGGCTATAAATATGGAAACATATGTCAGTAGTTGTTAATGATCAGTGGAGTCACTGACAGCTGTGAAATAATTCTCTAATTATATACCCTCCTCATTATAACTTCCTCATCAGCTCAAAATGGAGGGAAATACTTATTTTTGATGGGAAGAAAAAAAAATTCATGTACAGTATTTTTCAATAGGGATTGACCAAAACTTTTTGAAAATGTCAGCCATTCAGCCACATATACTGGTAGAAACGAAGCCATGTACTCTAAGGCATGGAACAAAGTCTGAACTAGCTCCCCTAGAATATTCCTTGTACTTTTGAACTTTTAGACCTTAGACAAGCTGTTCCCTCTCCCGGGAATACCC